GGGCTCAAACTCACGAACCTCGAGATCTTGACCTGAGCTGAAGTTGGATGCTTAACCAACTGGTCACCCAGGTATCCCGAAAGTTTATTTTTTAATTTTTGTTATTTTCAAAAATAATTTTTTTAATGTTTATTTTTGAGAGAGAGAGACAGATGGACAGAGTGTGAGCAGGGGAGGGACAGAGAGGGAGACACAGAATCTGAAGCAGACTCCAGGCTCTGAGCTGTCAGCACAGAGCCCGATGTGAGGCTCGAACTCATGAACTTCGAGATTATAATCTGAGCTGAAATCGGATGCTTAACTGACTGAGTGACCCAGGCACCCCCAAAATTTTTTTAAAAGTAATTTCTATACCGGACATGGGACTTGAACTCACAACCCCAAGATCAACACGCACATGTGCAGGCTCTTCTGACTGAGCCAGCCAGATGCCCCTATAAATACTGCTGAATTTTATCAAATGTTTTTTTCTGTTGCTCCTGTTGGGATGATACATGATTTTTTGCCTTTATTCTGTTAACGTAGTTAAGTTACACTGATTGTGAATGTTCAACCAGCCAACCAACCTCTCATTCCTGGAGTAAACCCCACACAGTCGTGATGTATTGACCTTCTTATATACTGCTAGCGCTGATTTGCTAAAATTTTATTTTTTTTGCTAACATTTAAATCAGGATTTTTGTGTCTGTGTTCATGGGAGATACTGGCCTATATTTTTTCTCTTTTAACATTGTTATTAGGTTTTGGATGAAGGTTATACTAGCCTTATGAAGTACAAGAGTTTATAGGATATCGGTAGTAGAGACATTATTTCTTCTTTAAGAATATATAAGAATCAGGGGCACCTGGGTGGCTCGGTCGGTTAAGCATCCGACTTTGGTCCAGGTCATGATCTCATGGTCTGTGAATTCAAGCCCCGCGTCAGGCTCTGTGCTGGCAGCCCTGAGCCTGGAGCCTGCTTCAGATTCTGTGTCTCCCTCTTTCTCTCTGCCCCTCCCCCACTTGTGCTCTGTCTCTACCTCTCAAAAATAAATAAATGTTAAAAAAAAAAAAAGAATATATAAGAATCATCAATGAAGATATTTGAGCCTGAAGCTCTTTTGTCAGCAACTGTTAATTATATACCCAATTTCTCATAGACATTCAGACTTTTTATCTATTCTGGTGTCGTTTTGGTAAGGTGTGCTTTTTCAAGGAATTTGTTCATTTAACTTTCCCAATAGAAAAAAACTGTTCAGGAAAATGGATAAACTAGCTGTGGTATACTTATATATAGGAACACTAGCCCAGAATAAAAATCAACAGAACACTGATGTAGTGAACACAGGTACACTGTAAAAACACTATTCTAACTGAAAGAAGCCAGACACAGACTACATACATATGCAGTTCTGCAACAGGCTCTAGGCAAGATGAATCTGGTGACAGAAACCACATCACTGTTTGCCTCTGAGATGGCGAGATTCTAAGGAGGTAGAAAGGAACTTTCTGAAACAATGGAAATGTTCTATATGTCGGTAAGGATGTGGCTTGTGTGGGTGTCCACGTCTGTAAAAACGGGTGGTGATTTACGTTTAAGATCTGTGTCTCGGTGGCGCCTGGGTGGCTCAGTCGGTTAAGTGTCAGACTTCAGCCCAAATCATGATTTCATGGCTCATGGTGTCGAGCCCTGTGTCAGGTTCTGTGCTGACAGCTCAGAGCCTGGAGCCTGCTTCAGATTCTGTGTCTCCCTCTCTCTCTGGCCCTACCCCACTCACTCTCTCTGAAAAACAAATACTAAGAAAAAAATCTGTCTCTACGTAATATGTAAATTTAAAAATTTACAAAAATAGAAAGCTGTTGAAACTATCATCTTTTAAAAAGTTGTGTTGAAACACACATAAGATAAAAAGTGGTGTTAAGTACATCCACATTGTTGTAGAGCCATCACCACTAACCACGCTCATGGCTCTTTTCGTCTTGTAAAACTGGAACACCCCACGTGTAACAACCTGCTACCCTCCCACCGCTCACCACTATTCCACCATCTGCGATGCTGACGACTCTGAGCGCCTCATGCGGGTGGAATTGTACAGTGTTTGTCTTTTGTGCCTGGCTTTTTTAACTCGGCATAATGACGTCAAGGTCCATATCCACGACGTAGGATATTGTGCATTTTCCTTCCTTTGTAAAGCCGAATGATAATTCCGTCATACGTATGCACCACATTTTGCTGGCCCAGCATCCCCCGAGGGACACTTGGGGTGCTTCCACAGTTTACCGCCTATGAACAATGCTGCTGTGGATACGAAGGTGCAGACACATCTTCCAAACACTGCTTCCAATCCTGCGTAAACAGCCGGAGGCGGAACTGCTGGGCCATAGGGTAATTCTGTTTTTAATTGTTTGAGTTTCCCCAAGTGGAAATACTACTTATATCCCCACAGGCTGCAAAAGGATACCAACTGATCTACATCCTCATCAACGCTTGTTTTCTGTTATTCTGACGCAGCGACACGATAGGCGTCAGGTGGCGCTCTTAAGGATTCGTGCTCTTGGACACCTTTTCCTATGCTTATTGACCATTTGTTTCTTTTCTTTGGAGGAATGTCTCTTCAAGTCCTTTGCCCTAAATATACTATGTCTTTCCTTAAACATATATACCTATGATAAAACTTAACTTATAGATTAGCACAGTAAAAGATTAATAACAAATAAGTAATAATAAAATACAATTATAGCAATATACTCTAATGAAAGTTAACTGAATGTGGTCTCTTTCTCCCTCTATCTTATTTTATTCTTCCTTTCTTTGTGATGATGTGAGATGATGAAATGCTTACGTGATGGGATAAAGTGAAGTGGATGATAGAGGCGTTGTCACATAGTGTTAGGTTACTACTGACCTTCTGACCATATGTCAGAGAGAGGGTCATCCGCATCTAGACCAAGGCTGACCACTGGTA